GACGGCGGAATTCGTTGGTGTCGCTTCACCACCGTTAATCATCGCCGATGTCGATCTCTACAAACACGATCCATGGGAGCTTCCTGGTAACTTTCTTTTTCAACTCCATACATCTTACTTCGCAATTTACAGGTTATTCAATTCTGATTACTCATGAATTTGTCCCTAAATCTCTTCAGAAATGGCTCTGTTTGGAACAAAGGAATGGTACTTCTTCACACCAAGAGACAGGAAATACCCTAACGGATCAAGACCAAACCGGGTCACAGGAAACGGGTACTGGAAGGCTACTGGAGCCGATAAACCCATAAAGAGAAAATCCGACTCGAATACAATCGTTGGGATCAAGAAAGCTTTGGTCTTTTACGCGGGAAGAGGTCCTAAAGGGATCAAGACGAATTGGATCATGCATGAATATAGACCAAATTCTACCCCTTCTAATCACACCAAATCCCATTCAACCATTTCCAAGGTGCGTTGACATTTCATTTTGCATAATTTGATCGATTGGTGACTTCTGGTTGAAATGTTATGTAAATACCATTGGGGTTGACATGGGTATGTTCTAATAACTGTAGTTGGATGATTGGGTTTTGTGTCGTCTTTACAACAAGAAGAACAATCCGTTAGAGAAGATCATATCAGAAGACAATAAGATGCATCATAGCCGTGATCTTCATCCTGCATCACCATTAGATGAATCACAAAGTAACAACAGCGATAGTAATCATAGTATGAATTCATTTGAAGATTCAGAAGGTGATTTTGGTGGTAACTTTGAAGGTGATGTCATGTTCTTAAGCGACTTGCCACCTGGATATTTGACCAAAGTCAAAGGTACAAGTAAGCAAAGCAGCATGAAAGTAATGGAAAATTTGGTCCAAAGAGAAGATGATGGGAATGAGTGGCTTGACAGTTTAAGTTTGGAAGATTTGAATCATTGGTTGGAAGCAATGCCTCCTAATCATGATGTTTATGAATTGCCAATCATTTATAACCCAAATCAACAGTATTTTTTGAATTAGTGTTTTGACCATTTTAGGAATTTTTAAGTATTCCAGTATTTAGATAAGATGTAAAATTTTGCATTTCTTTTGGTATCAAAATTTTTATCCAATAAATAATTTTCATACAAATCCAATACTTCTTCTCACTGTTAAATATTTCAATCAGGATCTATATAATCGTGCTATTAAATGCAAAAGCAAGGTATTTAATTTGTTGTATTAGCGATGATTGAATTTAATCTTTTATTGAAAAAATTGAGAGAATTTTTACAGAATACAATGTAATGTGGTTTGGATCTCCAAAGGGTCATTCTAAAAAAAACTATGTTTGAAAATTTTAATTATTTACAAAAGAAAAAGAAAATCTTCCTAAGTCTTATTTATGGTACTATTTGGTGTATTTGGTGGGCGAGGAACGACATAGTATTTAATAACACTCCTTCAAAACCGGCTAAAACAGCTGATAACGTGATCTCATTGGTGTTTGGATGGGTAAAACATAAGGGCAAAATGGGAAATGGAGATTGGGTGAAACGGTGTTGTAACCCATTCACCATCTTGTAAACTGTCATATTTTGGTGTTTTTTTTCTTTTTTCTCTGTTTCTGTTTGGTGGTTCTCTTTTCCAGCTTGGCATCTTGCCTAGTTTGGTTAATAAAATTCTTGCTTGTTCCAAAAAAAAAAAATTACAAAATAAACATAGACATCAAAAACATT